CCCACTGGCCCTTTGGGCCCCGTGCAGGGCGGTGAGCTCCGAGGCGCGCGGGGCCGTGCAGGCCCGGACAGCCGGCGCTTTTCCAGACCTTGGGCGTCGCGTAAGTGGGGGGCGATACGTGGGGGGGGAGCAAGGGCTGCATGTAAAGGGCCCTTCCTCTCGGGCCTCTGAAAAGGGCCCGTTCGGGCCCAAAAGAGTGCCTTCAGGGTTCGAGAAGTGCGCCTTCCTTTCCCCCCTCCACTTATCGCACCTCCATCAAGCAACGCCCCCAAAAAACTTCGGTGGAGTGCAGCGTCCCGCCTGCCCTCCAACCCCAAAGCAACCCAGAGGCGTTCCCCGCGGGGAAGGAGGATCAGAGGAGGAAGTGGTGCTGGAAGCGGTGCCGATACCGCTGCCTTTCGCTTGTTTTCGCCCTGTTGTGCCTTTTGGGAGGCCCTCGTCGCCACGGCTGAATTCGCCTCGAAATTTTGGTCAGAACGCACCCTGGGAGAGACCCAGGGAGTAGCGGGGGGGGGGAGGAGGAGGGGGAGGAAGAGGAGGGGGAGGAGGGGGAGGAGGAGGAGGAGGAGGAGGAGGAGGAGGAGGAGGAGGAGGAGGTGGAGGAAGAGGAGGAGGAAGAGGAGGAAAAGGACGAGGAGGAGGAGGAAGAGGAGGTGGAGGAGGAGGCGGAGGAGGAGGAGGAGGAGGAGGAGGAGGAGGAGGAGGAGGAGGATGGTGCAGTTCACAGCCCCGATCGTGTCTGATTAGGGCCTACTGACGACAGATGGCCTTCTAGAGGCCGAGTGTGACCTATAATTGTACAGTCGAGCTCCACAGGGGCTCCCTTTTATGTAAGTCTGCGTTTCACGGTGTATCGTGTTTCCAAACCCTGTCTGTGCAACGTAGCCATGCTTAGTGGTCTCCCTGAGAGCCGAGAGCCGTCGTATAACCCCACGCCCAAGAGGTTCATAACATATGACACATGCTCCCCAAAACGTTTTTGCCGAAATCGTCTTCGCTCAAGCCTGTGCAGCGACACAGTGTCGCTGGGCTTCAGCTGTGCGTCCGAGAGGCGCAGGCTTGCGAGCTGGACTGCAACATAAAAAGAGCTCCTTTCCAGAATCAGTGTGTGATCAGCATCGCACTCCCCACTGCCCGACCCCTTGTACATCAGTATCGAGATACCCAGCACGACATCAGGGAATACGCGCCAGAAATATTCATCAGGAGTTATTCCAGGGCAATGGATTTCAACGGGGCCAATGCGATTGCATGGTAGCGGAGCAGTGGAGGTCCACGCACGGGCGACATATTCACGGACCGCGTCAGTCTACAGAACCATGGCGAAGAACAGCCATGGCGATGACACGGTACCCTAATTTACTGGAGATTTCACCACGGTAGACGACTACGAACGAGATGTCAAGGCCTACATCAGAGGGGCCCGTCGTGACGAAGGGTATGTGTGCGGCCCTAAACTATGGAGACGGCTTGAAGAACGCGCTACGTAGACAGGTCGCCAAGGCCGTGGATTGGGACCGCATCGAGACGGCGCTACGGAGTTGCTCAGACACGTCCGTGCGAAGCTTGGTGCTCAGCCTAACCAGGACGGTGGCAAGTACTCGGTCAGATGGATCTTCTATCTGCGGCGCGGCACTGGGTAGCCTATTCCGAGCTACCTCAGTAGAGACGACGAAGCCTATCGCGACGTGGCCAAAGGATTCGATGCCGAATGTTTCAGGAAACAGAGACAGAAACGTTTCTCACAACGGCCAAGGATTGGAACAAACTCTATACCGAGCTGAGCTGGTTCCTTTACACGATCGAGTTGGAAGTGCCCCGGTGCGCTGCAGAGAAGGCCAAGGAGTTGATCCTCAAGCTCAGGGACTTCATCAAGAATGGTCTCGAGGAGCTCCCGGACCATCCGGATTTCGGAACCGATTTCAATCAGGCGGTTCCTCTCGACCAGCTTCGTGGATGGTTGCTGCTGCAGAGATCCAGTCTGCCCCCGGCCGAGCGAGGATAGCAGTTGCGAATGTCCTGGCCAGGCGACGAGCTGACGACGCGTGACAAGAGGCAGGGCAGGGATCACCGCCCCCGTGATCGCGGCAGGATCCATGCCGGCTTGCGCCAGGACGGTGACGCAGACATAGTTGAGGACAGCTACGGGCACTGTGATGAGTCGGATGCTTCCTGCGACGCCCAGCCCGAGGATGATGCTGAGGATTCCAGGGGGCCCCTCCGCAGCACCCGGGAGATCCAGGAGGCGGATGCCGCCTTCGCAGCCCAGCAGCTTAGCTTCGCGGAGGCTCGGGACCTACTTCGACGAATGAAGACGGCAAGGAAGTTCTAGCCAGTGGGTGAGGAGAAGAAGTGCGCGCCGCGCGCTCAGAAACTTCATGGGCCGCTGACGGCGTCGAGCTGCTCTATGTCTTCCAAAAGGCGAGGGCGCGGCGACGGGCAGCGACGTGATCGACCAGTCTCCAGTTGCAGCGACCGCTCCCGTCCAGCCGCGCCTGAAGCGCGGCGGCAACCATGAGGCGAAATATCACGGCGATCGAGCGCTAACCAGCGGCAGCCGAGGGTCGAGATCGTCCGACGAAGGGCTTCAGCAACGTCATCTTCTTCGGCGTTTAGCGGGGCGCGGAGGTGCAGCCCGACGAGCCGATCTACGAGCTGGGGCTGGCACCCCGCCAGGTGGCCGCGACCGCCTGGGCGACCTTGGAGCAGGGCGAGGAGTGGGCGCTCGCGGGTGCGAAGCCAGTCCGCCTCCAGGAGCGCCGGCATTCTGGGCATCGGCGCCGCTTCCAGCGTCGCGTGCGTCGAGGCTGCCTAGAGCTGCGCGGCAGTATCTACGACCAGGCGGGCAACGACGTCAAGATGGGCGCCAGCCAGAAGTCTACCTTCATTTTTGGCGACGGCGACTCAAGACCTGCGCCGGCCGGGCCACCTTTCCTCGGGCGACTGCCGGCGTGGATGGGGGAGCTCGAGATCAACGTGCTTGGCGCCGGCGCCCCGCTATGAATTGGAACGGGTGTCTCGAGCCGCCCGGGGGCTGGGATCGACTGCGAGGCGCGCGCTGTTTTCTTCGAGGAGCTCGGGCGCCGAGCCAAGCTGCTCGCCCTTCCGATAGGCCACCTTGCGCTGCCCCTTGTATCGCATGCCGATTTTGGCATCGTGGCCGCCCCCAGCTAGGGGCGCGCGCCCTCGACGCCCGAGACTGCCGCGGTGCCCGGGGGTGGGGTGGGGGGGGCGAGCGGCCGATCGAGTGCGAACTCCAAGGGCCCCCGCAGATGACCCCCAGGAGCTCCCTGATGAGGCCCCCGCAGGAGAGGCCCCGCAGGGCCCGGGGGCATCGCCGTTGCCTGCAGCTGCGGGGGCGCCATCATTGCCTACAGCAACGGGGGCGCCATCGCTGCCTAGAGCCACGGGTGCGTCATCGCTACCTGCGCCAACGGAGGCGCCATTATTTCTCACGCCAAATGCATCCTCGATGCGCATTCCGACATCCTGCATTGCATCGCCTGGCCATCCCTCTGAGGTCCTTCCCGGGGCCCCCGCGTTTCTAGGGCTTCAGGCCCCGGCGCCGTCATCTTCCGCGGCCATTTGTGGCGCGAACGATTCGAGCGAGGAACCCAGTCCCCGGCAGTTTTCACATCCCCCATATTCGCGTGAGCTTCGAGCGCGAGGCGAAATGCCGCGACGCAGGAAGCCGGCGCGTGAAGCTGGATAACGAGGAAATGGAGCTATGGGCGCGGGGGGAGTCGCCGCTGGCGGGCTCGGATAAGGACAGGGATATGAAGAGGATGACGGAGACCTTCTTGCGGGGGGGCCAGCCTCCGTGGGAGATGTGGATCTGCCGGAAGCTGCTATCGCGGGCGACGTGCCGCTGCTGGGTGCGACTCATGCTGAGGGCATTCCTGAAGACAGTCCACTTCGACAAGTGGAAGCTGGACAGTCGCGGCCTGCCGGTGCAGCTGCTGCCCGCCGTTTTCCCTACCTGGCCGACGGAGCTCGGGCGTTGCGTGGAGCTCGCAGTCCGTGCTGGCAGTCTTGACCAAGTGTGCGGAGATGGCTGCGTTTGCGACGCTCAGCTCGAAGCAGGTCCACGAGCAGCTCAGCATGGCCGCGGTGCCCAACCACCTGGGGCCCCTCCGCGCAGGAGCTGGGGGCTGGTCAAGGCGGGGGGAAGGGGGGGGTGATCGACGGGGCCATCGCGCGCATCATCGAGCGGCGCGGGGCGGCAGCCCCGACGATCGAGATCGAGGAGGAGGTGGGGGTCGAGAAAATGGGGGCGGCGGCCGGGCTCGTGGGGCCAGCCGTCGCAGCCCGCCTCGCTCAGGAGTGCCAGCTTCCGCGCTGTCAGCTGATCTGGGGCGTCGCGAAGAACGGGCCGATTCTGTAGGTGGGGCCGCGCGGGTGGCGCCGCGCAGCCCGTGCGACCCCGGAGGCCTGAGCGACGTCCAGTGCGAGCGGTTGCGCTGGCTTTGTGACGAGGGCCGCCTTCTCAAGGGACGCCGGCGTCAGGCTATTCGGGCGGCTGCTCGCCCTGCGAGGTCGGCTCTGTTCGGGGCCGCGTGCTCGCTGGCAACTTTCGGCCGCTCGACGATGGTCGTGGCCCGCGCCCGCGAGGGCCCGAACCCGGGCCGGGCGTGCGACGACTCGGCTTGCGACTGCGACCCCAGCGAGCCGCGCGGGCGCCGCAAGGCGAAATTTTCACTCGACGAGAAGCGACCTGATATCATCGCCAGCACCCCGCCCCGCGGGCCGTGGCCGGCCAGGCAGAACATCAACCAGCGCAACGAGCAGAAGAAGGATAATCATCGCAAGAAGAGTGTTGAGGCACCGCATGTTCGAGAGCAACAGGCGCCTCATCGAGCGTCGGGCTCCCAACGTGCACGGCTCGGCCCTCGCCGAGCAACCTTCTGGCGGCCGGTCGTGGCAGGCGACTTGCTGGGGGGGCCTCCACAATGCGTCAACAATGCGCGCCCCCCTGCGAGATCATCGTGGACGGCTGCAAGCGTGGGCTCCGAGCTTCAGACGCGGGGGGGCTCGTGGAGAAGCGCTGGAAGTTCCCGGCGAACGACGAGAGGTGGGTTGCTCTCCAGCCCTTGCAGTGCCGTGGAGGCCACTATCATCGGGAGATCGAGAGCAGCCTGCGCGCCGAGGTGTCTAGCGTCTATCCCGCAATGCTGAGTCGCCCGGTCCTCCGGGCTATGGCGAAGAGCCAGGTGCCCAACTATCTGGAGGAAGAGGTTGCGCGCTGCCCATGTCTGGCTGCAGCCCAGCAGCCGCCCAATGAGCCGACGACGGTGGATGGGGCGGGCCAGCTATGCCTCCGCGGGGCGGCGAGGAACGCCGCGAACTCACGGGGGATACTCCAGGAGCTCGAGAGCTACGTCAGGCTGGCCCGCGCCAACCTTGGACACCTGCCTCGCTCACTTACTACGTTATCTTCGAGACCGAGGGGCGCGGCCAGAGGTGCTGCGGTTGGGCCGAAACTTCAAGTGCGACGTCTGCGATGCTCACCGACGTCCAACCGAGCGGCCCCCTGCACCCTCAGCTGAGCAGCCTCAGAACGGCCGCGAAGTCCTCTTCGAAGCTCTCTCGTGGGTCCGACGGTGGCACGAACGCGAACGCGATGGCCCTGGCGATCCTCTACGCCGGCTCCGACATGCTCTACGTGAGGCTCATCGACGAGAAGGAGATTCCAGGGCAGATCCGACAGGTACGCGTGGGCGACCTATGGTATATCTTCACTACGAAATGTTTTCCATGGATGGGGCGCCCCATCATCGTGCGCCGCTACCCTGCAGGAAGCGCCGCGTCCGATGAGTTCAGAAAGTTGGTCGGGAGCCCGGGCATCTACTGTCTGCCCTGTGCCGTTGACGCCCGTTGGCAGATCGGCAGTATTGAGCGAGCTATTGCGGCTTTCAGGGAGGCCCGTGACGCCTTCGACAAGATGGCATCCGCCGAGATGCCGACTACCGAGATGATTGGTTCACAGGTGGTTGCGAGGAACGACCTGACCAGGATCGACGGTTTCAGCCCACTTCAACGGTATGCAGGACGGACGCCGACTGGTGCCGCCGTCAATCTGTCGGATGAGCCACACAACCTACCTCTCATCAGCGCCGAACTACAGGGCGGTGCCTTCAGCCGAGACGCCCAGGTAAGACGACTATCGAGGTTGGCACGCGTCCAGACGGATAATTCCGACCGCGTCAAGCGAGCTGGGGCCGCGAGGTTCAGGTCCTTCAAGAAGCACGAGACAGGTGACTTGGTCTTCGTTTGCAGGCGGCAGCCACCTGGGGCCTGGCGGAAGAAAGGGCAGCCTCGCTCCGTGCCAGGACGAGGTCGCCGCTGCGGATCTGAACGAATCCTGCGCCATGCACCTGCGAGCCCTGGACAGCGACTTGGTCTACCCGGGGCAGTTGTTAACGTCGCGTTGGCTGGCCGTCTCAATCGAGTTGCTCCAGAACAACTTCGACCTGCCATTCCGTCCGAGGAGGCGGTGGAGTCGCTGCGCTCGCGTCGCGAGCAACCTGGGACGTGGGCCTTCGGCGAGGTCCAGAAGCAGCTCGACACCAACGAGGTAATCGACCTTTTTAACGATTTCCCGCCGACTGGCGAGGACCTTGCAGCGGGCGACGGCGAGTCGGTCAGCGCGCGCGCGCCTTCGCAGGCATCCCGAGCGGGCCCCGGGCCATCGACGAGGGCGACGATCTACCCGTTCCCTTGGCTGTGCTTCAGGGCCTCGGACCAGGGGGCGGCGGAGGCAGCGGACTTCTTCGGCCGCGCCTGGACTTGGAGGACCTCCTCTACCTGGGCCGAGACCTCCGGGGAGGATGCGACGCAGAGGAATCCTGGGCCCGACGCGAGTGCTGACCCAGACCCTGTCATCCAGCCAGCAACGCCCGAGGTTCCGCCAGACCTTCCTCAGCCTGGCGACGAACCGACCGAACCACCCAACGACGCCGAACTACCCGCGGAAGAAGTCATTATGGAGGCGCCTCCGAGTGACGACCAGAAGGACCGAGCTTCCCATCGTCCGATTGATGTGGATACGGACGCACATGACTTGGAAGAAGCTACGGCGCCCAGTGACAACCTCAAGAGCCATCGGCAATCCCCGGGGTCGCCAGAGCCACCTATCAAGAAGCAGCGGTTCGCCATTGCCACTCAAGAGGCCCTCTCTTGCTGCCTGCAGGAAGGGGGCTTCTACGGGGGCCGCGCGCGCAGCGTCCAGCAGCGCGGCGGGGCCAAGGTGGGCGACCCCAGCACCTGCGTGGCATCCCGAGCCCGCGAGGGCCGAATAGAGGCCCCCCTCAAGAAGGCGACCGCGGGGGAGAAGAAGCCGCTACTTGAGGCCCAGCAGAAGGAGTGCTCATCCGTTCTCAGCGCCAAGGCGGCCGCAATCCTGAGCAGACAAGGGGTCGACCGGGCGCTCCTATTACGTTGCCGCGCCGTGCTGGCTTGGGAGAAGGATGAGCGAGGCAACGTCCTCCGGGCCGGGCCCGCCTGGTCGCGCTCGGCTAGGGCGACCCCGACTTGCCCCGCCTGCGGACGGAGTCCCCCGTCGCTTCGCGACGGGCATGCCATCTTCTACTGGCCATGGCAGCTAGACGCAAGTGGAAGCAGGGGAAGACAGACGCAGTGACAGCATTTCTCCAGGGGGAGACCGACGAGGAGAAGATAATGCCTATGCGGACCGTCCTTAAGACGTCCGCCAGGGCTTCGGCATGAGCGACGACCGGATCCTGCAGTTCCTTAAGCCGATGTGCGGGTTTGTACTTGCCCCATGTAAGTGGCGGTTTCGCTTCAAGGGCGCGCTCGAGAAGCTCGAGCTGGAAGTTGTTCAGTGCGAGCCCTGTGTCGTGGTCATCCGCGACGGCGTCAAGCTGGTCAGCGTGGCGATCCTACGCGTCGACGATGCGATGATCGCTGGCGACCGCGCGCGCCCGGCCTTCCTCTGGTGGCGCCCCGACGCCCGCGTGGCTTTCGAGTGGGCGCCCTGGGACATGCGAGCTTTCGTCCAGTGCGGCACAGTATCAGACAGAAGACAAAGAGCGATCGTATCTACGAGGCCGACTTGGGCCGTAGGATGGCGCGCTCAGCAGCCCGCCCCGTGGCTCAGCGCAGAAGTATTCTTGCAGCGAGCCGAGATTTCGACGGCCGCAGTCTCGACCATCCAGAAGATCAACAAGCTCATCCGCGCCGTGAACGACGCTGCCGACGTGGCCATGCTCGCCCCAGCTATCGACCAGATCGCCGTGGTCGACAGGGGCGGCGCGGACTGGCAGCCGGAGTTATCGGCGAGTCCCAGGGCGGGGAGATCGCAGCGCTGGCCCCGCTGTCATTCCTCAGCGGTTCGACGGCCACAGCGGCGCCTATGGCGTGCAGATTTTGTAAGTTGCCTCGCGTGGCCACAAGCAGTGCAAGTGCGTGGGTTCAGATGATGACTGAGGCCCTAGATCAGTTACGTGTGACTCTTCATTTCCGAGCTGGAGTGCGGTCCAGTGGGCTACGCCTCGAATCAGCGCGTCAGCGACGCCGTCCCAGCCTTTCCTGGTGCCCTAGTCACAGACGGGAAGTCGGGGTGCGACGCGATCGCGGAGAGTGAGTCGGCGGGTCTTGGGCTACGCGACGAACGGACGAGTATCGAGTATTTTGGCGTCCGACACAGAGGGGGCGTACGGCCCTCCAGATACGTTGGGCGCACAGGGATGCTATGCTAGCCGACGGCCTGACGAAATATCGAGCCGCCAAGGTCTTACTGGAGTTCTTCAGATTTGGGCAACGCAGGAGATTCGTAGATGATCCTCTCCACCGCAGTGCCAGGAAGCGCAAGACAGAAGACATGGGCCAATCTGATCATTGCAAGCCCCTGTCCGACGAGGATGGAGATGGAGTCCTGGTGTCTCTAGTCTATCTCGCCCGCGAGAATGTTCACGAGCAGCAGTGCCCTGCCGCAGGTATGGCCCTATGGGGCAAGGCGAGACCGCTCCCGCGCGCTGTGCTTTCTGTGAGGGCAGGAGCCAGCCGCAGGCCTCGATGGCGAAACGGCGATCTTTAATTTCTGGGCATGCATTTCACATCCCAGAGCCTTTCTGACTAGAGCCTACTTGCGACAGATATCTTCTAGAGACCGAGTGTGAGCTTATATGTGCACTCGGGCTCCGCAGGGCCCCCCTTTTATGTAAGTCAGCGTTTCACGGCGCATCGTGTTTCCAACCCTCTATTTGCAGCGAAGCCATGCTTAATGGTCTCCACGAGAGCCCCCGTAGAGCCCCAACCCCCAGAGGCTCATTATACATGTTTCGCATGTTCCCCAACACGTTTCTACCGAAACCGTCTTGGCTCAAGACTTTGCAGCTACACAGTGTCGCTGGACTTTTGCTGTGCGTCCGAGAGGCGCACTCTTGCGAGCTGGCCCGCAACGTAGAGAGAGAGAGCTCCTTTCCAGGACCAGTGTGTGATCAGCATCGCACTCCTCACTGCCCGACCCCTTTACATCAGTATCGAGATATTCAGCACCACATATGGGATGACGAGTGAGAAGTACTCATTAGGACTTTACTAGGGCAGTGCTTCTCAACGGGACCATTGCAGAAGGAGGGGGAGGCATGGTCATTGGTTTCGCTTCGTTGCCTCCCCTCCCGACCAGGTGAGCGCATGGGCCATGCCCCAGCGTTTTTTTTTTTTTTTTTTTTTTTTTTTGTTTTTCCTTCCCCCCCATGCCATACTTTTCACCAGCGGCGTTCGCCAAGGTCGAAATTATTACGTCGTTGGCCACACCGCCCAAGGCGGTCGTCCTCCCACTTTTGCTCGTACCGCGCAGACGCATCGAACTTCGACTCATGTCCGAACAACGTTACAAGAAGGAGGACGGAGGAGGAGGAGGAGGAGGAGGAGGAGGAGGATGAGGAGCAGGAAGAGGAGCAGGAGGAGGAGGAGGAGGAAAAGGAGGAGGAAGAAGAGGAGGGTCGGGGGTGATATCGACGGGGGAGAGCTTCTCAGAAGGCAAGGGGGCCTTCTAAGTAGCTGGGCGGGCCTTCTCAGAAGCTGCCTTCTTAGAAGCCTTTTCGCTCCCAGAAGGCGCCCCCTCTGAGATCCGACGCTGCGAAAAGAATGCGAAACCACGGCAAATCGTGACTGGGCCCTGGGCCTTGGCCCAATCTCCTTGCGACCTTTCTCGAGCTGGATTGATCCGTGATGGTTCAAAAGTGCCTGAACCCGGCGAATCTGCCGTTGGTGCACAAAATTGCATCGCCAGGATCTGCGATTTTTCCGCGACGCGGAGCCCCAGCGGTCTCGACCCATTCCCCTGGGACCTGGTTTTAATCCCGCTTCGTTTTCTGATGGTCCCGAGGGCCAGCCAGGGCCCCCAGAAGCCGAAACCAACGAAACCAACTTCATCACTCGTGGGGACCTGGGGGTCCTAGGCCCTCGGGGCGCCGCCCGCCGCCGCGCCCGCGCCCGCGCGAGGACGTCGTCGACTCGGAGGTTGCCGCCACCCCGCGAGGGCCCGCCGACGCGGGCACCGGCGCCCCGTGCGGCGCTGGGCCGTCGCAGCGGGCGAAGGACCGCGGCCGCCGCCGGCCGAGGATCGATCGATCGAGCGAGGGCCGATCGTCAGAGGAGGTAGAGGTACCCATACCGCTACCCTTCGCTCGCTTTCGCCCTTTTTAGGCTTCCTGGGGGGCCCTCGTTGCCATCGCCAGATTCGCCTCGAAATCCTTGTCATAACGCGCCGCGTGAGTAGCGGTATGGGTACCTTTTTGTTTCCCCAATCGAGGGCCGCCTGCGCGGATCGATCGAGGGTCGAGCGAGGCGCGACGCCGCCGATCGATCGAGGGTCGAGCGAGGCTCGCCGATGCCGATCGATCGAGGGTCGATCGATCGAGGATCGAGGATCGAGCGAGGAGCGCCGCCGATCGATCGAGGATCGATCGAGAATCTTTCGCTGCCGATCGATCGAGGATCGATCGAGGAGCGTCGCGGCCGATCGAGCGAGGATCGATCCATCCAGGCCTGTGATTGCGGGCCTCTTCGGGCCTCGGGGGGGTTGCCCTCCGTGGTCGCAGCCGGGGCCGCCTCGAGATGTTGGGGCTCGAGCTAAACTGTGTTTTGGTGATGTCGTGGGCCGTATTCGTTTTGTATCGTTTCGCAGCAAAGGCGAAGACAGAAAGAACACATAGCGACAGCGGAAAACGTTGTTTATGCCGAGTCTTGCGAGATGCTGCCAGAGCGCACATCAGCAGAGGTCTGGGGCCAGTCGTCGTCATCGTCGCCGCCGCCGCCGTCGTCGTCGTCTTCGCCGCCGCCGTCGCCGCCGCCTCCGTCGCCGTCGCCGTCGCCGTCGCCGTCGTCTTCGTCGTCGTCGTCGTCGAGCATCGGGCTTCGAGGTGCTCTGGCGTCTTTCGCTCCCTTTGGGGCTCCTACGGTGGATCCGCCGCAGAATCCTGATGAGAACGCGCTCCGGGAGAGGTCTGGAGGTCCATTGTTTCCGTTGTCGTAATCGTGAACGCGCCTGGGGAAGATCGGAGGGAGGGGGGGAGGAGGGGAGAGGGGAATGAAGGAGGGAGATTAGGAGTAGGGAAGGAGGTGGCAGAGGCGGAGGAGGAGGAGCAGGAGGAGGAGGAGGAGGAGGAGGAGGAGGGCTTGTCCATCCTGGTCCTTTACCTCCCCTCCATCTTACCTCTCTAACTTTCAAGTCCCTACCTGCGCTTGCGACTTGATCGTCCTCCATTTATCGACTTCCGATTTTATTGAATCGCTTCTCTCATTCCGCCGGACCATAATTGCGCGCTGTTGTCGACTGACCGAGTGGTCTTTCGCGGTGCGGAGCTGCAGGGGCGGCGGCTGTTTTTATCAGGGTTTGCGTTCGGCGTGTGGGGGGAAAAGCAGCTCCTGTGGAGCAGCTTCGTGGCGATTTGTTTGGAGCGTCTTGGGAGGTGTCGGGACGATCGTCGTTGTTCACTTGGCTCGTAAGTATTTGCTGCTTTGTGGGGCATCAGGTGGCTGCGTGGGCGGTTCGATTCACCAGCGCGGCAGACCAGCGTGGCAGGCCATCACCATGAACCGGCTTCGGCAGGGGCTCCGAACCAACGTCGGTGGTGATGATAATCATTGTTGAACTCCATACCGGAGCTGCGTTCGAAGAGCCTTCCGCCCATCCCGCCACTGTGCGTGTTTTGCGGGTGAGAGTCCTCAGGGATGCTTCTTGGGTTTGGGGTTTCTTGTTTCTTCGGGAGCGCATAGGGGATTATGGATTCTTGCTTACGGGGGCTCTCTCGAGAGGTTTCTTGGTGGCCGCTGGGGGAGTCTTGAACGCGTCGCGGGCCGTCTGGAAGCGTTTTACCTATGGGGACTCTTTCGGGAGGCCTCTCGGTGGCCTCTTGGGGACTCTTACACGCGTCGGGTCTTTGGCACTTGTTTGCGTGCTCGGGGGGGCATGTGGGGAGCCTCCTGGGGCAGCTTGGGGGCCTCTTGGGGGCCTCTTGACGGCCTGTTGGGGGCGTCTTGGGGTCTAGGGCTTCTTGGGGACTCCTGGGGCCTTCTCAGGGCCGAGAGCTCGAAATGTTGATTCGTGTTCCCCCCCTGGGACTTCTCTTGGGGCGTTCTTGGGGCCTTCTTGGGCCGTCTTGGAGGCTCTTGGCCCGGTTCGGAGCCCTCTTGGGCCATCTTGGGGCCCTCTTGGGATCCTCTTGTGCCCTCTTGGGGCGGTCTCGGGGGCCTGGGGAAGCCGAAACGGTTGAAACGCCAACATCTTTCCAAAATCTTAGGGAACGCAGCGCATTTTGCCTCTTGGGGCCTTTCTGGGGCCGCTTGGGGGCCTCTTGGGGGCCTCTTGACGGCCTGTTGGGGGCGTCTTGTGGTCTATTAGGGGCTTCTTGGGGACTCCTGGGGCCTTCTCAGGGCCGAGAGCTCGAAATGTTGATTCGTGTTCCCCCCCTGGGACCTGTCTTGGGGCGTTCTTGGGGCCTTCTTGGACCGTCTTGGAGGCTCTTGGCCCGTTTCGGAGCCCTCTTGGGCCGTCTTGGAGCCCTCTTGGGGCCTCTTGGGCCCTCGTGGGGCGGTCTTGGGGGCCTCGTGGGCCGTCTTGGGGTTTTGGGAAGCCGAAAAGGTGGAAACCCCAACATCTTTCCAAAACCTCAGGAAGCAATGCATTTTGCTTCTTGGGGCTCTCCTGTGGCCGCTTGGGGGCCTCTTGGGGGCCTGTTGGGGGCGTCTTGGTTGGGGCCTCTTAGGGGCTCCTGGGGCCTTCTCAGGGCCGAGAGCTCGAAATCTTGATTCGTGTTCCCCCCCCTGGGACCTGTCTTGGGGCGTTTTTAGGGCCTTCTTGGGCCGTCTTGGGAAGTTTCGGAGCCCTAGCCCTCTTGGGGGCCTCTTCTGCCCTCTTGGAGCCCTCTTGGGGCCTCTTGGGCCCTCTTGGGGCGATCTTGGGGGCCTCTTGGGCCGTCTTGGGGCGTCGGGAAGCCGAACAGGTGGAAACGCCAAAATCTTTCCAGACCTAAGGGGAAAGCAGTGAATTTTGCCTCTTGGGGCCCTCTTGAGAGTGCTCTGGGAGGCGTGTTGCAGCGATCTTGTGGCATCTTGGAGCTCTCTTGTATCATCTTGAGGGGCTCTTGGCGGCCTCTTGGCCTTTCTTAGGGCTCGCTGGACGGCCTCGAGGGCGGCGCCCAGGAGGGAAACCATCTCTGACCCGCAGCGCCCGGGGATTGCCTGGGGTACTTCTCTTCCGGGGACCCTCAGGGGCCGCCCCTCGCGCGCTAAGTAGAATTATTGTAAAACAGTTACCGAGGATCTTAGCACGCCCCTGGCCCGTTGGGCCGGCGAATTGGGGAGTGGGGGAGGGGGGCGGGATCGCCGGGCACACCGACACGACTCACTCCAGAGTCATGCAGCGCTTCCCAGTTGGAATCCGCACTGTCGCTTTGTCAAACCTTTTTGCGTCCCCCTTCTCGCGAGGACGACTATGACCTCATGAGCGAGAGTGACGGGGACGATGACGAGGAACGCGGGTCTCCGAGTGGGGAGCGGCCATGTCGACATCCATCATAGTCTCGGGGGGGATCACGAATCATCGTATTGGATATGGATATAGGTGGTTCTTCTCTTTCTACAAACGTTTGTGTATATCATTGAGTTTCTCATGCGATTCACCTCCCCTGGCGCGTCCCCTTGGAACGTCTCTCCCGATGCCGCCTCTCCCGCAGCTGCTTTGGTCAAAGGGGTTCCTGGGGGGGGGGTACCCATGACAACCCCCTCTAGGGCCGCGGCCCAGGTCGCCCGTCCGAGACGCGGGATGGGCGGCCGCTGACCTGCGCCCTGGGCTCGCGAGTGCCCCCCAGCGTCGCCGCCCGCTGCCACGCGAGGCTGCCGGCGCCATGTTCGGCGGCGGTGCTGCCCCTGGCGTGGGCGGCGCTGGTGGCGGGGGCGCGCTGGCGGGGCCAGCAGGCGGCCTCCTCGGCGTCGGAGGCGGAGGCGTCGCGGGTGGGTTTGCGGCCCTGCCTCCGGGCGCAGGCGCCGTGCTGCCGCCGCCCCCGCCACCTCGTGGCAAGGCCGCTGGCGGAGGCGCTGGAGGCAGGCGCGCGGCCAAGGCGGCCAGGCCCTGGGCGGCATGGGCAAGCCGCCGCCCGCGGGCCGCGGCGGGAAGGCGGCTGCCGCCGGCGCCGTTGCTGGCGGAGGACGTGGCCGCCGCCGAGGTGCCGCCGCGGCTGCTGCAGCCGCTGGTGCCGCCCCCGCTGGAGGAGGCGCGCCTGGAGCGCGCGGCGCAGGAGGTGTGGTGCTTGGGCTTCCTGGCGTCGGCGTCGTCGGCGGGCCGCCCGCTGCCGCTGGAGGCGGAGCGGGCCCAGCGGGTGCCGCGTTCCCGCCTGCCCCGATCGCGGGCGGCCCGCCTGTGGGCTGTGGCGGCATGGCCCCATGGGCCGCAGGAGGCGCTGGGCTGCTGGGCTTGGCTGGAGGCTACCCTGGCGGTGCGGTCGTCTGGGGGGGGGGAGCTGCGGGGCCTGCCGGTCTTCCCGCGTACGGCGGCGCATTCGGCATGCCAGCGGTGGCTGCTCCTCGAGGCTGCGGCGGAGGACCTGCTGGCCCCTGGATCTACCCCCCCCTTGGCGCCGTACGCTCTTCAGCAGCTCCAGTTGGCCCCAGGCGCGCGTCTGGAGCTGGTGATGTACGACGCTTGGGGCCAGCCGAGCGGGACGGCCGAGATCTGCGTGACAGGTGCCTGCCCCGCGGATGCTTCGGGGCAGTAGGCCTCGGTGGTGAGTTGCCAGTGTTGCAGCGGCTGTTCGCCATGGGGGGCTCGATGTTGCATCTGTGCGCGCAGGCTCTGGGCACATGCCATTTGGCGACGTAGTGGCCCAACCGGAACGTGGTGCACTCGGACGCTGCGCTTGAAGGCGGCGGTCGGTGCGGACGAACGGGGCTCCAGGCGCAGCTGCCGTGGCCGACGGCCCAGCGGCAGTAGGAGGCGCTGGCGGGGCCGCCGCCGCCAGTGTTGGTGACGCTGGTGGCGCTGGTGCAGCAGGCGTCGGCGCGAGGGCCGCGGCGGGCTCGAGCGGAGACGACGGCGCAGACGGAGCCCCGAGGACCGAGGAGCAGCTCAAAAAGGTGATTCACGATTTGCGAGAGCAACTGAAGCGGAGGCGATCCCTGGCGGAGTTACTCGCCGAAAGGGCCCACGCTGCTCTAGAGGGCCGCAGCAGGCGCCGCAGGGAAACAATAATCGCGATCGTGACGCCTCAGAGGAGTAGTTTTTTTTTTGTATATAAAAAATATTTACGAGGCCCTACCCGCTGGATCCAGCCGCCGAATACAGCGCCTCGCCCGTTCCGTTCCAGTCCAGGAGCGCTGGTGGCCGCGGGTCTGAAACAAATCAAAAATATGTGGCACAGCAGGGCGGGGCCGACAATAACGACGAGCTGGGCAGCCCGAGCGTGAATGTGGCGCAGTGCATCACGAGTGCGTGGCACAGAGTGCATCCTCAGAGCGAGATGGGGGTGCGGAGCGTGCGCGAGATGAGATGATCGGCGAGTGCCTCAACGCGCTCGCTCGCGGCGAGCTGCCGCGCTTGGGCGACGCGCCCATGCAGCGTTTGAAGGCCGTCGAGCTGGCGACGAAGGGCGGCCGCTGACAGGTGGCGCAGCGCCTGGAACTGGTGGATTTCAGGGGCGTTGGGCTGGCCTCGCAGGGGGAGCTCGCGTTGGCGGTGGCGGCCTGCTCGGGCCTCGGGCAACGCCAGGCTGAAAGGGGCGCCCGAGGAGGAAGCCTTGAGCTCAGGTGGTCGAGGGGGTGTCGCGGCCAGCGACTCCGCGTCGGAAGGCTCGCTGGCGGCAGGGCTGCTTTTCATCGGGCAGGGGTCGCGGCCGCGGGGCAGCGGGGCGAGGGGCTGGCGCGCGGCCCGCCGCGCCGCCGCGGCCGCAGCTTCGGCGGAGGCGCGCCCGCCGAGCCCAGCCAGGGCGTCGCCCTCGCCTCGGCGCGCGCGGGCGGCGGCCGCGGCGCGCGGGCTCAGCCCTGGGCTGCGTCGCAGGCCCGGCCCCCGCCTTGGGCCGCGAGCGCGGGGCCCGCCGCGGCGCGTGATGTTCGCCGATCCCGTGGCGGAGCGCAGCCCGGTCAGGCAGGGCCCCGCGGGCGGGGCGGCCAAGGGGGGTCAGCTAGCGACCGCGGGCCTGCGACAGGTCGAGCGGCCCGCGGCGCGACGAGGGCGAGTGGCGCGGCAAGAGCCCTGGCAGGGGCAAGGGCGAGCGCCCCAGCGAGGGCAGGAATCGACATGCATGTTGGAGGAGTTGGAGCGCGGCTACCGCTCCGACACCTCTAGAGGCAGCTGGGGGTCCGAGATCACGAGCAACGTCCGTGTTTGCGGGGGATGCGTGCAAAGAGGCTTGTGACGATGCCTTCTCGGACTGCAAGATGCCATCAATTCGAGCTCTTCCTCGTCTTGATGACTTGCGTGATGCAGATAAGTTCCGACAGCCCTTCGGGTTGCCACTTTTGAGGTTTTGCGCGCTGTGATGCATCTGGGCACGGGCGCGCCGCGTCGCGATGTACTTCAGGCGGGGCCTCTGGCCCCAGAGCACGGGCGTGCTGCCGATGAACCGCGGGGCCATCCCTTGCCACTTCCCGCGGGGAGCGGTCGTCGTGACCTGATGCCGTTGCCCTGCGTGTTCATCCAGATCAGCGAGCTGAAGGTGGAGTTCATCCTCGACCGCGTCGCGCGCGCGAAGACCGCGGAACTTCTGGAGGACGTGGGCGGCTGGTTGTACTTGGTGGTGCAGGCGCTGAACTTCCAGTATCGCCTGGGAGGTGAGCGCCCGCTGCTGAGGGACGACGCGTGCCGAAGCCTCTTCGGCCCCGCCAGCTCGGCACAGGTGGGGGCTTTGCGGCATCTGGCGCGCGGCGTGTGCGCCTTCCTGGAGATGTGCAGCGAGCGGGTGCCGATTTGGAGTGGGGGGCGGAGCTGAAGTCCTCGGCAGTCAGCCGCGCAGGGGGGGCGGTGTGCCTCGCGGAAAAGCTGGGCAGGGAGCGTTTGATGCTGGCGCTGCCGCCGAAGGATGTCTGCGGGTCGGTGCTGGCCACGGAGGTGGGCGACGGCTGGGTCCGAGGCGCGCTGAAGCACCCAGAGTGGATGCTCAAGAGCCCCGCGGAGCTCGGTGAGATGCTGAAGACCCCGCGCGTGTGGGCGGAGGACCTTGAGTGGGATCTGATCGCCGCCGAGCTGGTGGACCGCGGGATCCTGGTGCCCACCGGGGGGCGGCGCGTTGGGCGGCCTCTTCGGCGCGCGCAAGCCAGGGCAGCATAGAGGCCAGGGACCGCGGCGCCTGGTGATGAACATCGCCCCCGTCAACTGGATGCAGGAGACCGCCCAGGGCGACGTGGGCCTCTTGCCGACCACGGACAAGTGGAATAGCCTCACCCTAAGAGCCGGCGAGGTGCTCTTGACATCGTCGGAGGACCTGGCAATGCTGTTATTACATCTATCGCCGACCCGGGGTTTGGCACAAGTACATGGCCTTGTCCAAGCCTGTCAGCTGCGCGGCGCTGGGGCTTCCTGGCGGCGGTGAGGTGTTCGCGGCGGCGGCCGTGATTCCCGCGGGCCGGGTCTCGGCCGCGGGGGTCACGCAGCGCGTCCACGGGAGACTGTTGCGCGAGTGGGTCCCGGATGTCACGCCGTTGCCAGCGGTGCAGGAGCTGCGTCGTGTTCTGCCCCTACCTCCTCATCGTGAAGTACGGCGCGAAGGTCGACGGCCACGGCGGCCAGATCACGTTGAAGTGCCGCATCAGGAGGGCGTCGAGAGGGTGCCTGTGAGGGGGCAGGTCGGCCGCGCCTACGACGACAGGCGCGACTCGGTCTACGTCGGGCGCGCGGGCCAGAAGTGCGGCTTCACCCCCTTCCAAGGGGGCGAATCCCTCGAGGTGTCGCGGGGCATGCCTTGGACGTCAGCCATCTAGCATTACGAGGCCTACATCAGGGAGGCGCCCCATCTCGTGGAGGCCATCGGCGAGTTGATTGGGTGCCGCTTGATCTGTCGCTGCAGGTTGGAGCAGCGGTGCCATGGCGATGCGTTGGTGCGACTCTGGTGGGGGCAGGCATTCAGCGATGCTCAATCTCGTGGCCTTCCTCCTTCAAGGCGACAGAGGTCGAGGAACGCGCGGGGGGGGCGCCAGTTTCGCAATCCTGGGTGGTCTGGCTGGTCTATGTCGACAACCTCGACCTCCTGGAGACTGCCGACGATGTCGCGATGTCGGCGTTGCAGTGCACTGGTCCTCCTGAGGCCGTTCGCTCGGCCAGGGCTAGATGCGACGCTCGGGGGTTCCCGCGAGGCGAGGACAAGTCCGTGGGCCGCGCGCTCGAGAGCCAGGCCACGGGCGAGTGCGTGGACGGGGAGCTGAGCGTGATCAGTCCCCCGGAGGATTTCACGTATAAATGGGTGAGCCTCAGTCTGTGCGCGATGGACCGCTAGCAGGTGGCGCAAAGGTGACTGCAGGTGCTCTCGGGCCGCTGGGTGCGCGCGATGATGTTCCGCGGGGAGGCCGCGTCGGCCTTCGACCGCCCGTGGCGAGCTGTGGTCCGCTGGAAGGGTGGGCGTCGGTTGCCGAACGTCGTCATCAGGGCGATAATGATCGCCCTGGGGCTGCTTCCGCTCATGAAATGCGACCTGCGGGCTCCTGTCAGTGGCGTGGTGACGGTGCCGGGCGCCGGCGAGCAGAAGGGGGCGGTGTGCCGGGCGGTGCGGCCCCCGCCCCGCGGCATTGCGTAGCGCGGGCGCGACGCGGCTGCAGGCTGCAGGGCGAGGGGGTGCTGATCCCTTTGCTCGACGGCATCGGGGGCGGCCGAAGGCACTCGACATGTTGGGTTTGAGTGTGGCCGTCAACGCCTCGTCCGAGACAGATGCAGCGGCTTGCAGAGCGGCGCGATGCGCTTGAGCTCGGGGGCGCGCGGCTGTTGTCGGGGAAGGACCTCGGGAGGGTCAGAGATCTCGCTCCACGTGCTCGCTGTGCCACCTTGAGCGCGGGGGCGCCCTGCGTGGGCCTGGCGCGCCTCGGCGTGCAAGGGCGCGGGCTGCGAGGTGCGCGGTCTGGGCTCGAGAGCTCGAGGGTCCAGTCCTTGATTCGTCAGGTGTTTCCAGAGGAGGTGCAGCTGTTCAACCTGATCGAGAGCGCGTCGCCCATGGGGGCGAAGGACAGGGGGGCCATGTCGCACGCGCTGGGCCTGGAGCCGGTGGTTGTAGAGGCCGTCGACATCTCGCGCGCTCGCCGCGAGAGACTGCTGGCGCGACGTGGAGCTGATGGCGCAGTGGCAGGGCGCCGTGGGCAAGTGGCAGGGGGTCAAGAAGGTCGCGATTCCAGGAGGCCCAGGGGGCTTCAGGCGGTGGCTTCGCGAAGGTCGCGAGTGGTGCGGCACGGGCTGCGGGTGGCAGCGGCTGCCGACCTTCGCCCGCTGCGCCCCTTGCACATGCGCTGGGCCCAGGCCCAGGGGAGTCGAGCAGTGCGCGCCCGAGGAGCTGGATCGCTGGCGTCCCCGCGACTACTGCTGCGCTCCATGCCAATTCAGGGGCGATCATTGTCTGCGCTGGCATGGGCGCGAGCTGGACCCCGCGGACTCCTTCGAGCGGGAGATGTTGATGGACTTCCCCCCTGGGCATGCGGCGACGGCCATGGCGACCAGGTTGCGCAAATCCTGCGAGTTGGAGGTTGTGCGATGCGCGCTGCTTGGCAACTCGCCCCACTGCGCTGTGGTGGCATGGATCTTGGGCCAGTGGGCTCATTGCCAGCAGTGCATCGTCACGGTCCCGAGCGCGAAGCAGCTGCAGGGGCTTGGTGGCGGCTTCGACGCGGCGGAGGGCTCGGTGCGGATGGCGACGGACAACGACGAGGGCGTGCCAGTCCGCCACAAGAACCTGAGCGGCCCTGAGGCTCGCCACGACATGAGCGTGCAGATGATCGAGGAGGTGGTTGGGCGTGCTGAAGTACGAGGCTCTGATGTGCGGCAGGACTCGTTGGAGATCATGCGCCCCGACCTGTGGCCCCGTAGGCCCATCGGCGTGGCGCGCTGGTCGTGGTGGACAGGCCTGGTCTGGCGCTGGCGGTGGATAGGGCCACGTCACTGCGCTGGAGGTTATCAGTGTGCTGGCTGCTTTACGTGGGAGATTCCGTGTTTGCCATCATCTGTATGCGAGGTCTGCCCATGATGGATTCTCAAGTGGGTATTGGTGTGATATCTATGGGGCGCTCTTCTTCTCATGTGCTCAACGCGGCTGTCAAGAGGATCTCGGCTCTGGCCCTGGCAGCTTCTGCGCCGCCGGTCTACGGGTGCACTGAGGCGGGCAATTATCCTGCCGACGACCCGTCGAGGGGCGGCGGCGCCCCCGTGACCGATCGTGCTGCGACGGAGGGGCTTTGAGTATGAGCAAGAATTGGTGGTCCGAGTACGGGTGCGCAAAGCTATTGGGAAGTTATCGAGCACTTTGGTGCAACCTCGCTTGCTGCGCCGTTATCCTCAGATGGTTTTGGCTTTCACCTCCTGGGCGCAGTCTCGCGGTGTGCCCGTGGAGTCAGAAGTTGGATTGAGGCCCCATGGGCCGCTTGGAGGCCAGCTGGCGATGCAGGTTCCATTATATCTGGCGTTAAGTTCTTCCTGCGGCGCTTGAGATGGCCTGACAGCGGAGGGAAATTCCTCAGCGTGCCACGCCCATGCCAAAGTATGTGCTGATTGCCTTTGCGAGCGTGGCGCGCTCGTGGTCAAGAAATGATGTGGCAGTGCTTCCTGTCTTGGGTTACGCGGCTTTTCTTCGCGCCATGGAGTTGCTCAGCTTGCGCCGGTGGCAGCTCCAGTTCAGCAATGATGATCTCAGCTCAGTGATCGCGCTGCAAGTGACCAAGTCAGGCGTGCGTCGGCACTGCGTGGAGTCGGGTGCGCTTCGCGACCCGCGGCTGGTGAGGTTCGCGCAGTTTTTGACTTGCCAGGTTTCGCCAGATGAGCTCATCTTGTGGTCGTCCGTGGAGGACATTCGCCGCATTTCCAGGGATTTGCTGCGGAGCCTGGGCCTGCAGCATCATCGCTACGTGCCGTGCTCCCTGCGACGCAATGATATGGGCCGCGCGCTGGTCATGGGCAGATGGCCGGATACTGCCGTGGCGGGGCTCTGCATTTCGGACGGGGTGCAGACTGCTGCAGAACGCGTTCGGGCCAGTGTAGCTGGGCAGATTCCGCCGCCTGGCGGCAGCGCTCAATCATCATGCGCGCTAAAACAACGTGGGAGGGGTCAGGCGGCCGCCCGGCCAAGCCCCTGGACAACTCTTCGAGGCAGGCTTGGGTGTCAGCCTCGGGCCCTCCTTTGTCCATGGGTGAAGGAGGGCTGGGTTGCTCGAGGCCTTGGGCTGGGGGGCCGCCCGACCCACGAGTAACAGAAAATATTCGGGGGCGACCCGACCTCCCCCTTTGCTTGCCCATGGGGGCGAGACGCGGTCTCTGCCCCTGGCCCTCTGTCCCGCTGGGAGAGGAGAGCTGGGTAGGTCGAGGGAAAGGTCGGGCCGCCACTCCGATCAGCTTGCATATGCATGGTCAGCTTCGCTGTCGGCATTTTCCTGATCCCCCAACCACCTAGGGGCGTCAAGACGGTGCACCAGAGTGGGGTGCATGAAAGGCG